GGGGAGGGGAGGGTGAGAGAGATACGTGGAAAGTGGGATCAGATTGGTTGGGGGGTATTGTTTGATTTCTAGTGGGTCCCACAGGATTTCTTTGTGTATGTTGTAATTACCACATTACCCTTGATGAGTATAAAAATTAGTATTTTTTTGAGCCGCTGGATCATATGATCTAATGGTTACGATTTATTCTTATTTCTTTCACTGATTACCATTCTCACCGGAGTGCAACCATATATATATATATATATATATATATATGTGTGTGTGTGTGTGTGTGTGTGTGTGTGTGTGTGTGTGTATATATGTGTGTGTATATATATATATAATTGGGATCAAATGAGAAAGGAATATAGTAAAGGAAATGAGAATAAATTTGGATCATTGAATACATCATATCAATAGTTATGATTAAGTCAATCTCTAGTCAATCATTAATGGCAACATGGTAATTTAACATTCACATTGTGGTCAAATGTACATATTTGTCCACTTAATAAGGGTAAAATGGACAATACACAAAATATTACAACTCATCCACCCAGTGGGCCCCACCACCTCCACCATAATTATCCCTCATTTCTTTTTTTCTCTCTCTCACATAGACGAAATCTGAAATTATGTCACGTCCTTTGGGTTCTCACCACCAGAATGAAGCCCGTAGCTACTTACTGCCACTTGCCGCCATCCGTGCCGCCGCCACCCGCTACCACCCGCCACCCGCCGCCACCCGCCACCCGCTACCACCCGCTACCACCCGCCGCATCTCTCTCGCACCAACTCTCTGTTTCTTTGACGCCCGTCACTGCCAAAAAAATTCAGCTCTCTCGGTGTCGGCCGCGTCCTCCATCTGACGGCGAGCTTCGATGATATCACAGCGAAAGTCAATATGGATCCGTACAACTCGTTCGTCGGCAATCATTCCCTGCACTCGATCCCAGCCTGCATGAAAAAACTGGTTAGACGGCAGAAGGAAGCTGGTGACGAAGCTGCCGCCGAAGTCGACATCTCACCGTAAATCTTCTCCCTGTTCGCCTGCCCTTTCATTCTTCTTGCAGCACATACCAGTTACGCGATAAACTCCAATTCGCATCTCGATTCAGGCTGCCCGCTGCGGGGATCAGTCAGGTGGTCATCAGCACGTACCGATGGTCACATACGCTAGCAGCTGCGATGGGTTTCCGGTGAATTACGGAAGACTGAGGTCTGCTAGGGGTTGGGAGTTGGGGGACTTGTGTTTGTAAATAAGATAAGTGATAGAAACGTATGTGTAAATTAATAAAATTTAATTATATTTCAGTATATGGGTCGAATTTACGATTTGTTAAAAATTTAAAATTGAACAACATTAATAAGTAAAATGCACAATATTGTGTGTATACATGCATATTTAATAAAATATTCATATTTATGCGAACTTGTTAGCAAATACTAAATTTGCAATATTGATAGTGATTTGTACAATAATGTGTGCAGTTAAGAAAGTATACAATCTAACCGAAATATAAAATTCTGAATAAAAAAATTTAAATCGATCAATTTTGGATGCTATTGTGCAACCTAGTAGTCATTAATGTGCAATCGATCTAGCATTATAGTGCACCGGCACTGCATGCATTTTTTATATCTTCCCCAAAACAAACTAAAGCTAGATGAAATAATTTGTTTATTTGAATGGTTAACCGAATTAATATAATTAATTGAAACAATTTATAATTTATGTTATAAAAAATCTATGTATATGAAATTATTAATATTTTAATAAATACACGATATATATATACAATATAAATATTTAAATATATATTCACATTAAAAAAATATTATTATACTTGTATGAAATTATTAATATTTTAATAAATATGCAATCTTGATAACTGAATTGGAAAATATTGTGTTTAGATATGCATTTTAAAAGTATAAATACATAATCGAACTGAAATATAAAATTTTGAACTGAACATTTGAGTTTTGTCGGTTTCGGGATTTAGCGTGCAATCTAATAGTCAGTATTGTACAATTTATCCTACATTATTTGTACAATTGCAGTACATACAATTGTAGATTTTTCCAGCCCAAACTAAACTTGAACCGATTAATTATACAAAATCTTTAGCAACAAATATATACAAAATCCTTGGCAACAAATTAGCATCTAACCTACCCTCCCT